CCTTGAATAGCACATCTGGGTTGGAATCCACCACCAACCTTGACAAATATAGTTGCTAATGACATGTTTCAATTTTCTTCTTTTTGTTTTAGACAGGGTCCTGCTCTATCACCCAGGCTGCATTACAGTGGCATTACCACAGTTTACTGCAAGCCTAAACTCCTGGGCTCAAGTAACCATCTTACTTAAGCCTCTGGAGTAGCTGGAACTTTAGGTGCCTGCCACCAAGCCTGGCTAATTTTTCTATTTTTAGTAGAGACGATCTCATTCTTGCTGAGGCTGGTCTTGAGGTAGGTTCAAGCCATTCTCCTACCTCACCCTCCCAAAGTGCCAGGATTACAGGTCTGAGCCACTGCAACTGAACTTGTTTCAACTTATTAAGCACTTTCTTTATGTCAGGTCCTAGGCTATATGTTTCCATTGTGCCATCTTGTTTAAATCTTCAAATAATCTCCTGAGATAAATATTATTGCTAACCTCACTTACATGAAGAAACTGAGGCAAAGAGAAGCTATCCACCCCAGTGTAGCTCACAGAGCCAGGAAACGGCAGAACATGGGTGCCAATGAGTTCTGAGTGACTGTAGAGCTTAAGCCAGGCGTCCTCAAAACTATGGCCCGCCTAGGACATTTATCCCGCCCACCGGGTATTTTTTGCTGCCACTGCCTGTCCTGCTTAGCAGCTGACTTGTCCTGGGGCCTGCACTCCAGCCCTCTAACGGTCTGAGGGACAGTGAACTGGCCCCCTGTTTAAAAAGTTTGAGGACCCCTGGTAAGCTCTCAATCACTGGTAAAGCTGCCTCTCAGTTACAAAAGAGAATCTGGGGTCAGCAACCTACAGACTTCTACAAACTGCTGATGAGAACCCTGATGCTACTCACTCAAGGCAAAATATATCACTGTCTTGGCATCAAGCTGTGTTCTTGTGCCAGGATCTGTGAGCTACGGATAATATTTCCATTATTCTTAAAACTTAGTTTCACAAAGATTGTCATATTCCATTCTTATTGTGAAATTTAATATTTCCCAATTTGCAATATGCATTAAAATGATAAAATGTTTATGACTTTTGTACAGAGTGATGTCCTGGTTTGTCTGGCACTTTCCCAAGTTCTAGCACTCACAGGCCTGCATCCTGAAAAATCCCTTAGCTTTGGCAAAGCAGGATCGGTAGTCACCCAACCTTTGCCCCAGAAATGTCACCTCTAAGAATTTATCTTAAAACTATACAATTGGCTCAGTGTCTGTGGCTCTTGAGCTAAGGTGCCAGCCACATACACCTAAGGTGG